CAACTTTAACAAACATTTATTTACTATAGGTGTTACAGACAGTCCCCTGTGCAGGGCATGTATGGGGGAGGAAGAAACGGTGGCCCACGTGCTACTGAAATGTCCGGAGGTCGCTACGTACAGGACTAAACATCTCGGCACGCCGGGATCACTCCCCGAAGTTGTATGCAACATCAAAGGATTGTTGAGCTTCTTCGGGGAGATCTCATGGCTCGAATAATCACATTATTCCTGCCCACACGCAAAATACGCGCATAGACGTGGAGTTGCGGAAAACAGCCCGTCGTAAACTAAACTAAACTAAACTAAACCCGTCATTATTAATCTTGTTTCGAGTCACCACAGGAACTGATGTTATATCCAAATTCTTTTGTTTTCAACCACAAGAGGATGCCGGACGTATAGACTTTCGGGTAACATCTGCTAACTTTTTTCCTTGTTTTGAGATTAGCTTCGGGAGAGGAGTACTTATGGGTTCAGTCAAGGGCTAAAGGGTGGTGATGCAACAACGACTGAGGTCGCCCTGATTTCACGGTCATCGACCGCCTGACAGATGGTATCGCATGACGGAGTCGCAATCATCGGTGAAATATGATTACTATTACAGTTACCGCGTGTCGTATTTACATTCTACGACGGCGGTAAATTCGCAGGTGTTGCAATTATGTTGCACAACATAGTGACTTCTTGTCTCAGCTCTGTTGCGGCTTGTTCCGATTCTTCAAATTTGAAACAGATGTCGGTGATTTTGGCTTTCAACGTGGTGTTGTCTTTCAACAATCTGGCCACGTCTAACGTGATTGAAAATCACAGGAGACAGCTTGTTGAGATCACGCGCGATGAAAGTTGGGATGTCATCAGGGTCGGTTACATTGAACAGCCTGAAAGTAACTTACAGGTCTTCCTTACCGGGCCCGTCCCTGTGACATGATGTGACATGACGACTAACACCTTCTTAGCTTGGATGATCTCGTCTTCGGTGAAGTTAGTCATCAGTAGTTGCTTCAGCGACACCTGATCCATGAGGTCCAATTGTTGTTGAAGAAAGGCCAGGAACTTCTCTTTAATAAAAAGATCTTCTAATTAATAAAAAGAGCTTCTCGGGAAAAACCTTCCTGGATATCGAAAGGTATAAGAATATGTGCAAAACAAAAAGAAATTTACTTTGGAAATATAGAAAACAGCCGACTACACACAACAGAAATTTGTTCAAATATTACACAAAACGTTTAAACAAAATAATAAAGTTAACACAACGTGCACAGAATGACTATAAAATCAAAACAGCTCAAACCCCAAAGATATCGCAGAGTTATTTAACATTTATTTCATATGTGGAAATGAAAGTAATCAAAGAACAATTAACGTTGACTCCAAAGTACCGAATACTTATAACTGATTATTTATGACCCCAACGACTCCTTTCGAAATTAATAATATAATTAATTTATTAAAGAATACAAATACAAATACCACAGGTTATGATGACGTTAGCATAAAGGTATTAAAAAGTGTATCAACCATCATCTCACTCGTTTTATCCTACATCGTAAAGAAAGATTTTTCCCATTCCCATTTTTCACCTGGCTATGTATAGAAATGAAATAAATCTTAAAATTCAGCTAATTGAATTGTAAATTAAATACGCTTATCACAATGTTAAAAGAAACGCAGGAGAAAAATATTTTTTATTATTTATTTAAGCTTATTCTACGTCTAGGGTAACGTATTACCACCATATTTTGAACGTATCTCAACTACACTTTTTCTAGGACGTTCCATTTTACATACTGCTACTTGACTTAATTGAACTGTGTTTCTAGGTTTTAAACATTATTTTATGTTTTATTTAATCAGTAATTATTTCTTTATTACTCTTTGTATAGTACAGATTAAGTAAAATTAACATAATAATTAAATAAATTAATCATGCAGTACTGTCATTGAGTGCGCACGAGTGGAACGGATTTTTTTGAGATTTGACAATTCTAGGAATAGTGTTATAAGAGAAAAGTGTGGTTTGCAAGATGACGTTGTGACCAGAATCAAGAAAGTAATGCTCTGGTGGTTTCGTCATGTAGAAAGAATGAACGAGGAAAGAGTGACAAAGCAAATTTATGTTACAGAAATGAACGGAAGAGTCGGAAAAGGATGCCCTAGACGAAGGTTTATCGACGAAATCGGCGATACATTGTAAATGGGCCAGATTAGGAGTACCCTTAACCGACGAGCGTGTATGCGTAGAAATACGGATGTAAAAAGGAGGCGAGAAAGGTGTGTCAGGATCGCGTCAAATGGAAGTCCGTAGTCTCTGCATACCCCTCTGGGTGACAGGCGTGAGTGTTTCTGTTTGGTGTTTGTATTGACAGTTCTACGATAGGCATCGGCGCAGTCCTTCGTTGTTGCCAAAGATAATATAAACACTTGTAGTGTTTGCCTCTTGTTGGGTATTGTGCCATTTTGTGTGTTTTTCATGGATCATATAGAATGAAAATATGCAGGGATGCACAAGATTTTTCTCAGTATAATCTCAGAGGAAGTGGTGATAGAACATTAATAAGAGATAGAAAAATTAAGTATTTGTTTTTACCATTTTCCTATCGAATTATGTGAACATAAACTGTTAAATAAATAAATAATATTTGGTAACGGCAAATCCTAACCTAAAGAGTAACATTAATATTTTTGGGCTTCGCAGCGTTTAAATCGTAAAAATGACTACATAACATTATTTTCTAAACTTGCAGGAAGTTTTTTTACTATACCTTATACATAAACTTTTACTATCAGGTTTTTATATGTGTGACAAGTAGACATAGTTCTTTAAGTATAACCTTTAGAATATTCCAAATAAATTTAAAAAAAACGGTAGTTCAACCTGTTTTTAAGAAAAATGATAAGAGTGATGTTGCAAATTATAGACCCATAGGACTCATACTTCTCTAAAATTTTTGAAAAGGTAATAAGTCAAAACCTCAATGATTTCTTTGAAAAATATAAAATCTTCACAGAGAAATTAGTCGGATTATGAAAGAATAAAGATATAAATTTATCTGTTTTTCAATTTCTACGTAGTATAATGTCAAGCCTTAATAATAAGCACTTAGTATCTGCTCTATATATGGATTTAACTAAAGCTTTTGACTATGTTAATCACAGTATCCTCTTAAGTAAATTAGAAGGAAATGTCCTCAATCTTTTAAAAACATACCTAATAAGCAGACAACAATGAACATAAATTACGCGTATATGCTCAAAAACGTATAGACAAGTAGTACATCCATCGTTATATCGTCAAATAACTCAAGGAGTACCCCAGGGAAGTATTCTCGGTCCATTATTATTGATTGTTTATATAAACTATTTACTAAATTATATAAATCAAGATATGGTACTATTTTCAGACGATAGTCTAGTGATGTTTTCAAGCTCAAGCAAAAATCAAATGATATCTGATATAAATCAAACACTGGACATAATTCAATGGTTGTCAAATAATAATTTATTAATTAATCTAAATAAAACAAATTTAACGACATTAAAAATATGAAAATAATTTAATAAATCTTAATATATGCTACAATGGACAACAAATGACTGTAGTCAAAAATACAAAATTTTTAGGCCTCAATCTCGATTCAAACTTAAAATAAAAATCTCAAGTGGAAGATATTTGTACTAAACTCAACCAGTTCTCTTATGCACTGTATAAACAATTGTGAATCAATCTGCCGTCATTACTGCGTACGACGGTTATGTAGAATCAGTGTTAAGGTATCTTTTGGGGCAATTCTGTAAACAAAAGAAATGTATAAGGGCCATTGAGAAGTTAAAACACACTGATAGTTAAAAACCATTTTCTGCCGACTTCCAAAAAGGAGACGGTACTCAATTCAACTGTATGTTTTTTTTTATGTGTGTTACCTCATAACTTTTTACAGTGTAAATCGATTTCGATGATTCTTTATTTATTTAAAAGCTGGTACTTCTTGTGTGGTTCCATATGAATTTGAATAAGGTCAGACCAATAGCTTTTGAGTTATTCTTAATAACTTATATTGAAGTCGGCTGTACAAAGTTTTTAATTTTTAATTATTTATTAGTCTGAAACTGTTAACACTTCCATGCCTTTATATACATGAGGTAGCATCTTTGTTATTACGCATATTTCTTTATCCAATCAACCGTCCACGGTGACTACAGTCCCCAAAAACCATTATTGCCTGACCTGTCTAGGCACCAAACGACATCTTTCTGTTTAAACGCGAACAGCGCAAAAGATAGCTGTTATTAATACAGTAAAAAATTAAAGATGGTGCTATATGAAATTTGTCATCTGTGAAAGTGAATTTCATCTGTATAATAGTAACAAAATATTTAGAAAAAAAAAGTTTAGGCGGGGACTTGACCGGCGGCGGTTTGCTGCTAATAATAATAACAGTTTGAAGTGGAGTTTGATATGTAAAGTGGTGCGATTTTATGTATTAACTGTCTACGCATGTGAACCAACTATTAGTGGAAACGGTGAAACAAGTGCTCTGATGGTGATGGATTCTCAAGATAAGCTATTTGTCTGCATAGGCGCCTTGAGATACAATCGCCAATTGTCAGCTGTCTGCTGGCTCAAGTTGCTTTCAAAATCTCCCAAGGGCTGCACAATGTGACGCATCAACATATTATGAAGCAGTGAACTATGAGGGATAATTATACTTTTGGGGAAATTGTAATAAACCGAATAAAAATACTCAAGACTTGGCCTAAAGGTCTGGATACCAGGGCATAAACTCCAAAAAAATCACCTTCATTCACAGATTATACGACAATGAAAATTAGCACGCTGCCTTGCCGCTGCTACCATAGATTATAGGACGGAGGAAGTTTATGAGTGATCGATTTTACACCGGCCTCCTAAATCTTCTCAACGGCATTTTTCTTTGTTTGCCATTACGCGCGTGGACTATATTGAAATCTTTGAATCGAGTAAGTGCCGCATCACGAAAATGGCGAACACGTTTCGCGGAGTGACGGTGTCTGCCGTCAACAATGACGGCGCTCTTACGCCGCGGTTCAATTTCCCTACAAACGTAAACGTGGATTACGACCCTCAAGGGCTAAGTGTTAAAGTGATTCGTGCTGATCCTGTTTTAGCTCAAGAAGTGCTGGAATTTCCCGTTCACAGCCAAAGTGAATGTTCGCGAGTAGCAGGCCAGTCATACATTTTCACGATCGACAATGAAACCTTGTTTTTTAAATTCGCTTCAGACATTGATTGTCAGAATTTTCATTTACTGGTCAGCAAAATTAAAGCGGGACGTTCATCAAGCGTATTCACTGTACGCACGGAGGATTCGTCAGCGATGCAGTATTTCCAGTTTTACGGGTACTTGAGTCAGCAGCAAAACATGATGCAGGATTATGTCAGAACAAGCACGTATCAGCGTGCCATTTTATCAAACATAAACGATTTTAAAAACAAGGTTGTATTGGATGTTGGTGCAGGCTCGGGAATATTATCATTTTTTGCAGCGCAGGCTGGCGCACGGAAAGTATATGCAGTTGAAGCGAGTAATATGGCACACCATGCACAGTCATTAGTCCGTGCCAATGGTTTGCACGATCGTATCACTGTTGTCGCTGGTAAAATAGAAGAAATAGAGCTACCTGAAAGTGTGGATGTGATTATTTCTGAACCTATGGGTTATATGTTATACAATGAACGGATGTTGGAAACTTATTTACATGCAAAGAAGTGGCTTAAACCAAATGGCAATATGTATCCAACTCGTGGGGACCTTCACATAGCACCATTCACAGATGATGCACTCTTCATGGAACAGTATAACAAGGCGAATTTTTGGTATCAGACATGTTTCCATGGGGTAGATCTAAGTGCATTACGAACTGCAGCAATGAAAGAGTATTTCAGACAGCCAATTGTTGACACTTTTGATGTCCGCATTTGTATGTCGAGATCTGTGAGACATGTAGTTGACTTTCTTAATGCTAATGAAACTGATCTGCATCGTATTGAAGTGCCGTTTAGATTCGAGCTGACACAGTCGGGGACTTGCCATGGCCTTGCTTTTTGGTTTGATGTGCTATTTGCTGGAAGTACACAGCACATTTGGTTATCCACAGCACCAACAGAGCCCTTAACACATTGGTACCAAGTGCGGTGCCTCTTGGAGACACCAATTTTTGCAAAACAGGGTCAAGCACTCTCTGGTAGAGTCCTCCTTCTAGCCAATAAAAGGCAGAGTTATGACGTTACTATGGATATTACTTTAGAAGGAACTAACATTTCATCGTCCAACACATTAGATTTGAAGAACCCGTACTTTAGGTACACAGGAGCGCCTGCTGCTCCACCTCCTGGAGTTAACACAACATCCCCAAGTGAATCATACTGGAACACAATTGACACAACAGGGGCTTTGAGCAATGGACAAGTGATCCTCACAGATGCTGCACAGCAATATTGCTCAACTCCAGATAAGACTATTGCATATGGGGCCCACCCGAACATGATCAAGACAGTTATGTTGCAAGAAGAGTTCATCAAAAGGATCGGGATAAGTCAAAATGGAGACATATAATCCGCAAAGACGCGCCGTGCGCGCCTTAGGGCTCTTAGGAACCGTCGTAACCGGTTGTGAACTATCTTCCGTTCGAACATTGTAGTGTTTAAGCAGACTTATTTATTTGACAAAGAAAGCATCACAGTTGTTTTTCTCTAATCGCGGGCACTAATCAGAAGTATGAAGCCGTAAAATTGTGGTAGACATTTTTAGGTTCTGAGCAAATGTGATTATCTCAAGGTTTCTTGCAGCGTAGCAGTTAACCCCTTTCTGAAAATGTTTTGATAATAAGAAGTTTAAATGACACTTATTAGGTATCTTGAATAACAATAGACATTGCTTTAATTAAGAAAAATTGTAAATATCCCCGTCCCTATAAGCTGACAATTGTTCCGTAACTTCAAATGGGTTAACTGCTAGGGCTATGGTAGCTCTAATGCCTGTTAAATGAATAGTAACTATTATTGCATAAATTTATAACAATAGCTTACAAACATAATAATTACAATACAACAAATATGTCATCATTTACCACCCACGACAATTTATAATTTTCTGTAGTAAGCAATTTAAAGTTCCTCTATGATACGGGATTTATGCAATGATAGTTTTTTTTAATAGGTAATTTAGGTGTTGAAGTACACTTAGTTTAAGAAATAATTGCTGAATTATAATGATAATGCCTAACATTGTCAATACTCATTTATCATTATTAGATGTCCAAGTCTTAGATTGTATAATGTAAGTGATTGTCATTGTTGAAACAGAAAATATAATTGTGTAAAGCACGTCATAAGTTTGATATTTAGAAAAACTATCTGCCAATTAATACTATAAACTGTGAATCATGTTGGAGTTAAATGTTTATAACAATATTTTTCTGGGAACGTACAACAATGATACATTCTATCTTATAATGCAAATATAGTTTCAAATTTTCGTTAGACATTTGTACATTAGTAGATGTCATAGATAGATTTTATTAAGAAATTGATATGTTTTTCAGGCAGTAATTTTGTCATAAAGATGAATGTGGGAATAGATAGGCCTAAACTATATTTTTCTTTCCGATTACACAACATAAGGTATATCCCTTTTCCAAGAAGTTTGAGGTTGATGGGAGTACAATATAAACATTGACTATAATCTCAATTAAAATACAACATATTACATATTTATTTTTATAGTCTTCTCTTAAAAAGCTGCATCTGAATTTGTGTTTTTATGACTCATACTTAATCAAAATTTATTCAGAACACTAATGTAATATTTAGATGTTTTAAATTGTTGTTAAACTTTCAGAGCAATTTGTTATTTTGACATACATACACTAAGTACATTTCTAAGAAAGTTGTTAATACAATTCTAGGTCCAATTTTAAACTTTGCATCTATTATTTTTTTAAAGTACAACAATATCTGTTTGTAATTATCTCCATGCTTAGTTAAACTTCCTTGATTTTATAAAATTATCTGTTTTGTTTAATTAAATGATTCAGTTATTTGATATAATATAAACATACTCAACTAATTATACTGTAATATTTATGTGCAGAAAGATTTCAACTAGTTGTTGTGTGAAAGCCTCAACAATTAATTGATAAATTAAATTAAACAATTAAAATTTATCAGCTAAGTCTAGTTACTCTCAAATATACATTGTATGCAGTTTCTTACTCTGACAAACATACTAATTATAATTGGGCATATTACACAAGTTCAGATGTGTGGAACTCAATTATTCCTATAATAATCATGACACAATTGTCTGTCACTACCTTAATGCTGCTGTATGCATATTCCCAGATTAAATCTACAACCTGGCACCTTATAGGTATCTTTATCCAATTATGTATTATAAAAAATGGTGCTGACTGATTGTTTTGTGCAAAAATATAAGTTTTCAAATAACTGCTCTACCTCACAATTTGGCAGATGGATTTTTGTGCCCTGAGTGCATCTACAATGTTTCCTTTCTAAATAGGGTTGCCAACTCTGAAATTTAATACTATTATGTGATAAGGCAAGCAATAAATTTAACTCCATGTAAGAGACATGTCATTTTGTAAATAGTTGTATTTGTAAAAATCATTGATTTTGTAATTGATTTTACGTCTGTATATTCTGTGACTGTTGTTCAGTAGTTTGGTAGTAGACAAAAACATTTTTATATCAACAAAAAGGTCACTATAAAAAACTGGCAACCCTTTATTCTATTTTCGCTCGTATCACTTGCCATTTTTATAACTTTAGTTGTCATATAAAATATAATACCGACTTTGTTCAGACGAGTCTTGATACCACTTATCCCGTGAGTGATGTGATGCTAATGGATCACGATCAAAAGGCCTTGTTGCTATATGTTCTAGATTATGTGTAGGCCTATATAAAGACTTGGAAAAGTTTCTTCATAGAATCAGGCATTCGTTCTCGGGGAATCAATTATATTAAAGATGTTCAAATTAATCATCTACCTCTTTCCCTCCCTCAATGGCGTGCACATTCACTCTCACCACTAATACCAATTCCGCTACCCTCAATTCCATAATACTAGGAAAGATGACGACGCAAAGACGGTCTTTCCTAATATTAATTTTAGCATCCTTAAGTTCTAACAATGATACAGTTTTACTTGAATTATTTTCACACATATGTTCATTAATTGTGATCTTTGGAACTCATATCACTTATTGGTTTTCTTTTAAACTGGAGTCACATTTATGCTGTTTTTTGTCATTATAGTTTTTTATGAAGGTAGATTTACATTGCAATGTACAATAACATTTAATTATCATTGTATGGAGGATAAACAAACCCTTAGGTTTAGATTAATCCATGGTTGCCGCTGCGCTCTAACTACATACATTCGGCGTATCAGTAAAACGCGGCATCGATGACCACGTTGGTCTAGTGGTCGTAAGATCGACCACTAATCATGAGGTCCCGACTTCGAATCTGGGGTCGGAGCAAAATCCATTAGGTTTGTCTTAGTAGCCCGGGGTCAGGAAATTGGCGATGTTTCACCCCCGAAGCACGTAAAGCTGCTGGGCTGGCTCTCAAGTCGTGTTGAATTGCCGTCCCATCGGACTACGAGAGTGTATTCTCTGATACTGGCCATCTACACACGATTAGAGTCCATGTCGGGGTGCCGCATATCATCATATTAAAAATTACGGTTGGCGTAGTTAAAAGCTGTGTAAAAACAATGCAACAAGACAAGAAATACACTTGCATCACATACTATTACTAAATATCGTATAATTTGCAAGTAGTCATTACATTCAATTATATTGAGTTGCCACATCCAAGAAGCTATTATTTTAAGGTAGAGCAGTACCTAGTTGGAGCGCAGGGGAAATCTTAAGCCATTGGGCTTGTGTATTATTGTATCAATTTATTGAAGATAAAACTTATATTTATTTTTGTTTGTTAAACTATAGTTTATTTTTGTTAAGCAGCATTAGTGTGGTTTCAGCTTAACGTATCACCGACCGGGAAAGTAGGTTTTACGGATTAATATAGTGACGTGTTGTATTTGTACTGAACAAGGCAAGTCGCATTGTATTCCTTGTATGTAAAATGTTTTTAGAGGCAGCCACATATATTTTTCAAGTGTACATGTATCATAAAAGAGTTTTTTTTTTTAATGTAAATTTAAAAACTTTTTTTAGTGATGAGGATACGCGGTAGGTTCTAGAATGTGGGTAGTCTTAAAATCATAATTATTGTGCGTATAAATACGCATCATGTATTGCGCTAATGGTCCGTGTTTGGGCTAAACATAGTCTATAAGTGTCATAATTTCTACTTAATTTTCGTTGTTGTGATCACTTTGTACGGTAGCAATGTAAATAAATATTGCACAGTCATTATAATTTGAATTATCTAGTTTAAGGTTAATCGTGTTTTGTACACAATACGGGCGCGACTAGAATTATCGCTCCCGCGCTATTAAGGTAACATTAACAGGATCGTTTTTGTAAAGGTTTCGCCGCAAGGTTTCGGCAATAAAGTTATATGCCAAACATGTAATTGATAGTCATTTTATATAATACTAAAAGGAACTCATCATAGCAGTATAAGATGACGGTTACGTAATATGGCAGTAATGTGTTTATATCGGGTAATTTCCCCGTAAATTGACATGACTACAAAGTGATCATAGTATTTTGTAACTATATACTATTCGGTATAATTTCATTTTTGTGTAAATAAGACAAACATGTAAATCAAATCAATATCGTTGGGGTCGATGTTTTTTTTTTATACAAGGCATTATGGTTGTGTCAACGATTAACTACAATAAGGTTAGGATTTGCGCAGTGGATATTATGCGTTTTAGGTTTGTTTCGATAAATAATTGGTATCATTGCGAAATTGATTAATATTTCGAGAAATCGATTTCGTAACGACACGCTTTACGTCCAACAAAATCGATACCGAATTGTGTATCTTGTAATTATGTAGAACAATTTATTTTTTATTGGTCTAATAGGAAATTGTATTGTCCGCTAATGAGTAGATTTTAAGAAATTACATAACAGTATGGTGTAAACCGACCAATAAAGAAAGATAGACGTAACCTTCCATTCTTTATCAGCCCGAAAAAGTCTATTGCTGGACCCTCATACATAAGCCTAAAACCATGTTGTTTATTGCAAATGATTTTGTGTACATATGTGTGCGCGAGTGCAGGTTCTTACAATAAGTTTGGCTTGGATTCCGCGTCATTTGAAACTAACGTAGTGTACTATCTTTCTTTGTTGGTTTGTGTACAAATACTAAACAATTTTTTCGATCTGTATCTGATTCACCAATCTCCAGTATTACTGTGGACAAATTGCGTATCATATCGTGCATGTCCGATTTTGTATTGTATAGCATCAATATGAACTTTGCATCTCACTTTCGATTACGGTGACATTTATTATAACTATGGAAAAAAAATAACTTTCGGACGGCAATTTTTGGTAATTATGTGAAGTAATTTTAATCTGATAATTGTAGTTTAATTTCCTA